GATCTGATCATCATCAGAAATGAAGAAGAAAATCAAGCCTTGGGCGGATATCAAGGCTGGATCGGACTGTACCAAGACGACACCATGAGTCCATGGAAGTGGTCCAGTGGAGATGAAATTGCGACTTTTTTGAACTGGGATGTTGGTGGTAAGACGAAGTGACGTTTTCACGTTGTCAACTTTTAGTTCAGTAACTTCCCGTTTGTTTTTGAGATTTGAAATGTTTTGGTTTTGATCCAAGTTTCAGTATATGAATAATTTTCCTTATTCAAACAAGGACTGCAAGGTTGCACAGTTGGTTGAACTGTTGCCTAGCAGCAGAACGGTCCAAGGTCAGGTTTAATTAAACCCAGGACTGGTTGTCTTTTCTCTGTGCACATATTCTTCCTGCATGTTATCACTCCAACTTGGGTGTGAATGTTTGTGTGTGTATCTGACCGAGTGTGTGTAGCCTAGTGATGGACTGATAACATGAGCAATGTGTGCATCGCCTGTCACCCATTAACGACTGGAAGGGGAGTTGTTAACAAATGTATTTGCTTCTGAAGCTTTTATACAAAAAAAATCTGCAGATTGAGTCTCTTCCTTGTTACCTGTTTTTAACTTTTGTTTTTCACTCCATCCTTCTGTTGACATGGACGTTTTGATCTGGACTGTCCCACCGCTCCACCAGCAGCCTCCACTGTCTAAAAAAACAACAACTTTGAATCTTATTAGGACTTTTATTTATTAGCTAGTCTGATTTAGACCTGAACTGAACACATAATAAAGGAAATAGTAAAATAAGAACAGCACTTGTTCCTTTCAGTTTTTCTTTAATTTGTTTGCTACTATTTAAGAAAATGTTAAATCTGGTGATATCAATAAAATACTGAATAACCAAAACATCCCTATTAAATATTCAATTCTTTGACAAAAAAATGTTTATAATTAAACTTCAATTTTGTTTTATCAGGAAAGAAATGATGTGATGTCATTGTAGGTAAGTAGCAAACTGTTTACTGTTTTGCTCTTGTTTCTTTTCTTTTTTTTGCATTTTAAAGCTCAGCTAACATCACACTAACACACTTTTAACTGTTTGCTGGTCTTCAGATTTAGATCAGTAGAGTACCTTAATACCTGATGTCTTGCCATGACCTTGGTAATGCAGTCGCTGGCCAACGAGTTATTTCTAGTTCTACGGTTGTTCATGCCTTGTTTTGTTTTTACAGGTTGTATGCAGAAAAGTTCCAACAACAAGATGCAAATAAGAACTCAGAGAAAATGGCAGACAGGGTGGTGACTTCATCCTGATAGGTGGATCACTCTGAATATAAAAGCTCTGTGTTGTCTGACAGAAAATTAATATTATTTGAAGTCCAGCTGAGCAAAGTGTCTTCCTGCTTCAACACCTCAAAGTCAGTAAGTACAAAAGGATTTAATTTTTGGGATTAATACATTTTACCGTCTGGCTTGTAAATGCTTTTTCAAGCTTATTTGTCTTTTCTTTTCTTGTATTTTCAACTATTTGGTGTATTTTACCTGATTGGGTGTGCTGATGTATGGATTTTTTTTAAGTCAAGTTTCTCTGTATAGCACACATGAGCAACAAGGCCGTTCAAAGAGCTTAGATGATAAACACAACACAGAAAAAAAGAAAGATTACAAGATAAAGAGAGCTAATGAAAAGTGAGAATTAATTTATGTTTTGGTTATTAATCAAAGGTAACTCTAAGCAAACTGTTTTTTAGTCTTGATTTAAAGGAACTCAAAAATGTTTCAACATTTCTGCAGTTTTCTGGGAATTTGTTATACATTACAGGAGTGTTAAAACTGAATCTGATTCTCCATGTTTGTTCTGACTACTGGGATCCATAAAATTTACAGCTAAGGAATCGTGTTTAACCTCAGTTATAATCAGTTTCATTTAATGCAGCCATTCCTATCACTTAACTGTTTGAAATCTAATGATGATAATAACATATTGATATTATCTGTAATATTAATCTGGACATTTTGTTGGCTAGAAAATAATATGTATCTCGGTCTTGTTTTTGAAGTTGTTTAATCGATCCATCTCTGAGGAAACTGGTTCAAATTCATATTTACAAAATTAAAACTAATTTCATGTCAATGCTGAGGGTATGGAAACATCTGACAAGAAGGTTTAACCTGAAGCAGCTGCAGCATCAAAATGTGAAGCTTGACTTGGTTCTATTCATCTTGACTGAACCAAAGTCTAAATCTGTCGAATATTTCATCAGATGTATGAAGTGTTAATCGCTATTCAGATTATGATGGCCCTGTTCAAATGCATGTTCAACGAAACTTACTTATGTTGTCACAGGTAACTTCGGTAAAAACATGACAAGAAAGATATGTGTCTGCATCTTCCTGCTGCTCATCTTCCACTACATCTGTGGTCTAAGAGAATGGAAAGTTATATACCACAATCAAAAAAAGAGTTGGAGAGAAGCCCAGTCCAGCTGCAGGGAGGAGCACCTTGATCTGGTCACAATCAGAAATGAAGAAGAAAATCTGGCATTGGCTGGATTCAGTGACAGTGCCTGGATTGGATTGTACCAAGACAAGGATGGAAGTCCATGGAAATGGTCCTTTGGAGACGAAAGGCCGACTTTTTCAAACTGGTGGTCTAGAGGTGAGTCAATAACTGAGGAAAATATCTACATTTTGTAAACATTTTACCTCAGTTCATTTCAAATTTGTTTTGGAGATTCAATTTTTCTTAATTACACCTACCACTACAAATACTTGATGTTTAATGTACAAATTTGGAAATTGATGCCTACAACACATTTCAAAAACACTCCGGACAGGGGCAACAAAACATCGGGAAAGTTGAGAAACACTCAAAAGAACATTTGTGTGGAGAATTCCACAGGGGAACAGCTTATCTGGAAACAGGTGTGTGTCATGATTAGTTATAAAGGGAGAATATCCGAAGGGCTCAGTCTTTCACAAGTAACGATTAGGCGAAGTTCACTACTTTGTGAACAACTGTGTGAGCAAATAGTCCGACAAATTATGAACAATGTGTCTCTATGTACAATTGGAAGGAATTTGGGGATTTCGTTGTCTACAGTGTATAATATCATCAATGGACTCAGAATATGGAGAAATCTCTGTGATTAAGCAGTGTTGGTTTCCGACATTCAGAAACAAACACTGAATGCCGGCCACCATGGTCCCTCAGGCAATACTGCGTTAAAATCCAAAATCATTCTGAAGACTTCAGAAAACCATTGCCAGTCAAGACAGTTCAACACTACATCTACAAGGACAAGTTAAAACTCTACCATGCAAAGCAAAAGCAATATTTCAAAAACATCCAGAAATGCCACTGGCCTCTCTCTGCTGCTCTGAGACAGACCGATGCAAAGTAGAAAAGTGTCCTGTGCTCCAAATTTCTAATTGTTTGTGAAAATCATGGGTGTGGTGTCCTCTGGAGCAAAGACGAAAAGGACTGTCTGGATTGCAATCAGCACGTAGCGCAAAGCCCAGCATCTTTTTTTTTTTTTTTTTTTTGAGGAATATTTTTGTCACTAGTTTCCTTTATTTGACAATTATTTGACAGCAACCTAGAATATTTTTCTGTTCCTGAAAGCATGGGTAACTTGCACATCTGTGAAAGTGCGGAAAGGTTCATAGAGGTTTTCGAGCAACATCTGCTGCCATCACAGCAGCTACTTAGTCCACCAGTCTGTCTTTTGTTCCCAAAACCAAAAGGAAAGACTATGACATTCCTTTGATGTTTGAATTTAATCAATGTTGTCCTCTTTGACTGCCGATGATCAAACACCCATCCATCTATTATCTGAACATGCTTTTGTCCTCGCAGGGTCGTGAGAGGGCCTGGTGCCCATCATGATCAAACACCGAGAGATTTTAATTTGCAAACATATGTATCATCTTGATATGACAACTCACATTAACAAAACAATTTGTTTTGCAGAATTTTAATTATTTAACTTTTTCTCCTAGAACACGATGTAAACCAATCCTGTGGCTATATGAAGTCTTTGACCAAGAAGTGGGAGGATGACTTCTGTGGGTTTAAACGCGACTACATATGTTATGAAGAGAAACTGGTTCTGGTGAAGGAAAACAAAACATGGGACGAGGCATTAGAGCACTGCAGGTCTCTGAGCAGAGCGCTAAGCTACGACCTGGCAACCCTGATCACCACCGACGACCACGACTTTGCACGAGAGAGAGCCCAAAGCGCTGCCACTGAGGAGGTGAGCTGCTGTTTACTCTGCACTGATGCTGTTGAGCGACTCACCCTGTTGTTATGTTGATCTCTCTGCTACATGTCGGTAGGTGTGGACCGGCCTGCGTTACCTTGGTGATGAGTGGTTCTGGATGGGTGGAGAACCGGTGCAGTACCAGAACATACCAAGCTGCCCGGCTGTGAGATGTGGAGTCCTGGAGAAGAACAGCAACTCATCCTTTAGTATCAGAGACTGCAATGAGAGAAGGAACTTCTTCTGTTACATAAAACCTTAATGCAACAAATAGTTCATCTTCACCTGACTAACCGTGCTGTTAGCAAAACATATGATCTCTTAGAAACACTAGAATATCTGCAGCTGTTTGAAGGTTATAATCTATATATTTGTAGGAGCTTCCTGTTACAAAAATCCTGAAAATCCCTGAAAGCCTGATGACATCATCTCCTCTTATTATTTTTATGAAAAATACTCACCTATTAGGAATTAAATTATGGCCTCTTACAGCCTTTATTTAAAGAGCACTTTGAGTTGCAAATTAACAAAAATTCCAAATAAATGAATGAAAAAAGATCTGTACTTCTTTTAAAATTTCCTATTATCAATTCATTACTTATGGAGAGTATCTATTGTATGACATTTTAAGGATTATTGCATAACACCAGTAATCTGTGGTATGCTAGTATACTTTTACTTTTAAAGTTTTTGTCAATATGAGGAACTCCTGAGTCATAATGAAGGGCCTTCACTCATTTATGAAAACATCTAATTTAAAGAAATATATTTAATTGACTTATGTATTATTGGTTTTTGTGTTTGTCTGATGTATTCATATGCTAATGCTGTTGTGCACCTTTAATTGTAGAATCTGAAATTGTTTTTAAATTACAGGATTAATGATTTAGTTTGACTTCAGACATAAAGCCTGTTTCTCTGAGGTTCCTGTTGATGCTGTCAGATGCCTTCTCACCTGCCTTCTGACCTGCCTTCTCTCTGCCCTTCCTGCTTTTGAAAGACAAATGATCTCATTCTCCATTTTGAATGTGGTGCTCTAAAACGAGCGAACATTCAAATACATCTACGACTCACTGATATCCAAACAACTTAATTTGATAAGCAGATGTGTTGTCAATCCTTGTGATGTTTGTGTCTCTGCTTTTTGAGAGAAAAAGCGAAACACAGGAAATGCTGACGTAAAAGATGCACTGAGGGAACAAAAAAAACTCTACAGAGACATTAATATTAACTTAAAAATATACACAAATAATTTCCCAAAGTGTCTTATTTTAGTCAGTCCTATTTTCCACTTTTCCACCACATGCACAATAAATATACCCTTAGTCCTAGTTTAACATTTGCAATTAAATTTATGTATTAATTTGATATTGTCCAAAGTGGCAAACTTTACACACAGGCATTTTCCTACGTTACATACAGTTTAAAGCTAGTAACCTTTCTTGAATGTCTGGACATCCCGGCTATAAAGCATCTGTAGATCCTTCCTGCTCTGTTATGCAGCAGGAACAGTTTGTGACTGTGGAAGTCATTGATCAGACCAGGTTCAATCTAGAAAGCTTAAGAAACACATAGTGAGGGTTTGCTTGCCCAACCATGTCAGGCCCAATAGACCACCCTGGTTCACAGTGATATAGACACAAAATGTTAAAAGCATATGGAGGAGAGAAGATAAGGTCTGGGAAGAAGTCAATGAAAGCCAGAATAGTGTCAAACAAAATGACCAACATACATGCTTACAGCTGTTGACCAAATGGGAGTAACTACAGGCATTTCATGACTGGCTGGTCATTTGAGGAGAAGGTGGCATTGCTCCACCTGCTGCCATAGTGCCTGTTGTCAAAGATGAAGCCTGTTGTGAAAGGTACAGTCTTTTAGATTGAGTTACTCACTAGATATAAGTGTAGTCTATGAAGCTTCGCAATGTTTTGTATAAATCGCTACGTTTTGCAAGTTTTATAGCAATTAATACGTCTAATGTAAACACTGTGTTCTGTTGTTGACAAGGATCTTACAGAGCAGGCTTGTGGATTGTTCGATGTTTGTGTCATTGGCTTGTAAAAAATGCACATATTTTGTCATTGAGTGGCCCTAGGGAGTGTATTTTTGAAACAGGTTATGCATTGGTAATGACGGAGCTTTTTTTTCTTAGAGAAAAGCAACAACCACACCCATGTAAAGGAGTCTGAACAGAGGATGGACCTGTAGTCTACAGAGTGAAGCTGCTATAATTTGACCTGTAAGTGTGCCACCTGTCCAGTCTTTAAGTGGAGGTATAGTTTCAGTAATTTGAACCTTGGAAGAACTAGAAATAACAGTGTGTTGGGGCAGTCAAATACAAACAAATTCCTCTGTGGTGGTCATGTAAAGCCAGTGCCTCATTGGTCTAGAGTGTCAAGAACCTTGGCACCATACTGACCTGGACATTTCACTGAAGTATTGAGCAGGTTTTTATTTTTAGGGTTAGGGTTTAGGTTTATGACTAGCTGTAAATTGAGCTAAACTGAGGTTTAAGGTTAGGCCTGTTGTGGTAATGGGTAGAGCTAGGGTTAAAGGTGGTTTAGTGTCACAATGACAATATCAAATAAAGTTAAGAAGTGATTTCATTCAAGGCAGGAAACTGGACCAAGCATTTCTTGTTGGTTTCAGTAACAAGAAATATTGAAAACTAACATCTAGGAAGACGTTAACGCTCAACTTGACCATGTCTGCACAAAGCCACAAGGGGGCGCTACGCCCAAACAAAACAAACTGCCTGAAAAACAAGCAGTCTGTCGAGTCTTGCACAAGATGTGGAGACACAAAAGGTCACTCTTTTAAGCGACGTCATGCTAAAGAAGTTGCATGTAAGAACTGCAGCATTTGACCAGATTGCGCAAGAAATTCAATGTGGAAATAATGAGAGGATTCATCATCAAATGACTTTTGACTTTAGAGTCCAACAATAAATAACAGAAGGTAACTCAGCTACAAAATGGCACTATGTGGTTAGAAAACACATAATACTTCCCCTTTAATAAAGAACTTATTTAATATTTTTCCATGCCTGTAAATCCTTTAGTCCGTTAGACAACAGGTCCCCACCAGCAAGAGCAACAACAACAAAAAAAAGAAAAACACACAAGTTGGATCAACAGAAAATGAAGAATCTGTGGGAAAAGGCAGAAGCCTGTTGTTGTTGTGGAAAAAGACAACACACACAAAGCCCAAGATTCAGTTATCCCTTTAATATAAAATATAATAAAGAGTATGAGGCCACACTGAAGATGCAGTTCAGTTCAAAAACACACTCCATGAATAGGCTTGCAGCTGTTGGCAGAAATAAAACAAAAGTTTGACATGACTGGTTTCTGTTCACTCTGAAGAGCACACAGCTGGAGCCGACATGAACCACTGCAGTGAAACCAAACTGGACATGACACTCCACCCTCAGGTCCAGAATCTGAAGCCTTCACCTTCTGGCTTTTTAACAAGAAAGAGCACAAGGAGAGGTAACACGTTTCTACACTTTTTCTCAACAGTACCTATGTTGATGTTTGTGGCAGAGCAAGCAGCCCAGGGCAACGGGATGGAGCGGATGATGGACAGAGGACTGCTCAGCTCTGGATAGTCCCACCTAAGCAGGAAGTAGCTCTCCTTCACATGCAGTACGGGGAGGAGGAGGGCTCAGTCTGCCTGTGAGTGGATAACTTTACAAAATACATCAGAGGAGTATTAACAAGGTTTACAGTGTTATGCACTTGGTCATGCAGTGCCTTCAACATCATCCACCACAGGAGGAACAGCAACGTTTGCTGCTGAGACGCCGGGCAGTTCTTGGGCTGCAGTCTCTAACTGGTGCAAGCAGGGGTCTCATGAGAGATGCCATCTGTCCCTTTGCTGTACTGGGGGGGTCCGCACTGGCTGGACGGGGGAACAGCGGGTCCGTGTCCTGTCAGTTGGTGAAGAACGTCGTCGTCGGTTTGGGCTCTGTGGGCTTCTTTGGTGACGGGGCAGGACCTCCTTCAGTCCTCCACTTCTCTGTCACTCACACATGATGGGAGTTGACATCCGATATGGAATCTGACCCTGCAGGCCAAACATAGATCAGAACAGATGCTGGTTTACTGAATGGGACCTTACTGTGCTTCCCTGAACAAGCTGGGATAGTTCTATAGGCTACAACAGGGTTTTTCAAAATGCCTGAGGGTTCAGAAAGTTGGAGGGAACATGAGAAAGAAAATGGGAAAATAAAAATAAAAAATAGTGCCAAGTACGATGCCAAGCAGAAGCACTCGCACCCGTCTCTCTTCTGTACGTCGCGTATTTCTCATAGTTTTGGACCTTACATGTGTAAATGAACAATGAGATCTATAATATTTAGACTAATAATAAGATGGACAGATTGTGTTTTATTTCATGTACCTTTATTAGCAGAAACGCAACACACTCCCTCCACCAGCTCTTTGGCCTCCACAGCCAGCTGGATGGCAGGGTCAGGAAGGGGTGACAGGGTGTCGGGACTGTCTGTGGCTGGAGACGACCTGTTGCTCCTGAAACACACAGAACAACAGAGGCGACGGTTGGTTACAGTGGGACATGAGATTGTAGGGTGACCTGAACGCAACATTCTGGGTCTCTTACCCATCATCCCCTCCCAACAGGCTGGGCTTAGTCAGCACCTTGTGCACGTTCTGTTGAGAAAGATAATGGAGCTCATGACTGAGGATGCCCAACAGAACGGTCCAGCACCAGAACAGACAGAATTATAACTTGCTTTGTTAAACAAACTGGATCTTTAACGTTGGCTCCTCTAGGAATCATGAACAGTAAGTGAAGCAGTCTCACTATACACACATTGTCTGTAAGACTTGGTTAAGTTTTCAAACCACAGCAGCTTCCCATACCACTGGTGTCCACTTGGGGGCAGTCTGACTCCATTACTCTTTGAGGAGCAGGCACTACAGTAAAGATGGCCAAGACTCTTTTCTGTGTATTGGTCGTCTCTTTACTGTACTACCTGGCAGTGACAGCAGTCATGTGATCAGTTTATACTCGATGGTTGCCATGGCAATGGCGATCAGGCCTGACAGCAGCTCTACCTGAGCGAAGCCCAGCAGCTTCTTGTTGGAGATCTCCAGGTGTTTTCTGCTCAGCTCCGACTTCCTCAGCTGGGAGTCGATGAAGGTCAGCTTCCTGTTGAGCTCCACCACTTCCTCCTGACAAACGCAACACACTGTCAACTCGGAGCATTTCAAAAGCGGTTAACGAGACTGAAACTCAGAAAACAATGAGATGTTAGTGCAAAATCGTGTGTTTTTCCACATTTGTTGATGTCATGTTGAAATGCCACCTGGCTGATTTTATTGCACCAGTTGTTGCCAAATCAGGTTAACATGCCGAATAAAAACTCCTCTGGCTTAAAACACCAGCTCTCCTCCCACACATTCACTGTTGATGCTTTGGCACCACTACAAATATATTTTGCACATTTTTTGACAAATCTGTATCGTTTTAACACTCTTGAACATCAGGACAATAATTTCTGTGGAAAAAGAAAATATAAGCACAAACCTGAGTCCTGATTTCAGTCATTCAGTTCAACCTCTGTAGCTAATGGTAGCTGCTATCTGTCGCTATCTGCATTGGAGGGGTTTTCCATCCATGGAACTGACAGTTTCCATTGTTAGTCTGCACTTCATCATCAGGGCCATCTTCCCGATGTATTCTTGGAGCTTCAACATTCTATCTTGGATGGTGGATGTGATGCACACTAAACCTCTGCCTTGTTCTGTGCTCTTAATGTACAGCCTGTGGATACTGGACTTAGGATGGATTTCCCCAATCCAACATAACCTCTGAATGACCATTTCCAGTGATCACTGAACCGTTTGGCGACATCAAATAGAATAAAAGAACATCAGTAGAACTCAGAGCTACGATAAATGGTGAAAGTAAGAGCATTTCCACATTACAACATGTAGAGAATTCAACTGACTGGGACTGAACAACTGAAGATACTGAACGACCAGAGTATTCCATCAGTGGACCATTTTTTCTCTGATTCCTTTGCTGTAAAACATTCCCATCATCAGAAAGAGATCTTGGTGGAAAATGAATGCAACACTGGATGTAAATAAACCTTGTCATATCCCAAATGCTGATCAAAACAATGTTTGCTATAATCAAAGTTAAAGACGGTCCAACAAAACATTAGACTTTGACCTTTGTCTTTTTGGTGGCAACTATTATCTTTTGGCTAGACA